GTCAAACTATTCTTGAATCAGATGCCGATGAACAATGGAATCGCAAAATCGATCGGGAACATGATAATCATTCGAATATTGTTTCGACATTCATTAGGAAAAACTTGAGGAGCTAAAGTGTAAAAATTATCGATTAGAAAGTTACCTTGAAGTCCATCGATCCCATCAGGAGTTTTATTTGGAACAATGTACTTTCTTCATCAATTATCCATATTCTTTTGCCATGTCGAATTGTATGCTAAGACGAAGAAAAATTATAGTCATTTTCATGTTACTCAAAATGGTAATATTACCTTTATTAATTTACTGGAAATGCTAATTAGCACCACAATGAAACTGAAAAAATGTGATTAAATGAAAGTTTATTCAAAATGAAATATCATTTGACAATTACAAACTTGAATAAATGCCATTGAGAAAATGATCATTTTTCGTCGATTGCATCATCGCCCGTCCAAACAATTTTCATCAATTTCGTGGCTAATTTTTAATCTGAAACAAATGAAAGCATAAACAAAGATAATTTTTAATCAATAAAAGTGATTGTTCCAAAAATTTGGACCAAAATCAATGAATAAAATTGAAAAAAATACTTATAAGATCGAGCAGAAAAAACGCGTTCGAAAAAACAACGTCAACAAGAAAAGTTCGAAATCGAATGACGAGCACAAATCGAACGTTACTAACGTTGCATTCTGATTGGACGAGAGAAAAGTATAGAAAATACACAGAGAGAAATAATTTGTCTTTTTTAACATTTTTTGACTATTTTTGTCGAAATGGACGCATTCATAATTTGAAAGTATTTAGCACGTGTTCGAAATATTGTAAACAATTATTTTTAAAATGAATCAGCATCGTAATTTTTGGGAAGAATCATCAATTTTGAAATGATTTTTGATGACAATTCATTAATGATGTCTGCTGTAATTGATCCAACTAATCGAATTGTTGAATTCAATTGATTGAATTGTTGAACATCTTCATCATTATCCAAATATACAAAATCATATTTTGATTTGATGGCGATTCATTAATGATGTCTACTGTAATTAATCCAATTAATCGAATTGTTGAACATCTTCATCAATATCCGAATTTGCAAAATCATATTTTGATTTAATGGCAATTCATTGATGATGACTGCGGTAATTAATTCAATTGATTGAATTGTTGAACATCTTCATCATTGTCCAAATATGCAAAATCATATTTTCATTTAATGACCATTTATTAATGATGTCTGTTGTAATTAATCCTATTAATTCAATTAATCCAATTGTTAAGATTGTTGAGCCAGGGTTATTATTTATAAAAGCAAATCAGATCGTTTTGATTCATTCGTTTTCACTAAATTATTAACGCATTCAATGACATAAAAATATTTCGTTTTTGCTCATCAAACTTTGTGAATAAATAAATTCTTTAAACATTTTTTCCAAACAAAATTTACAAATGTAAGTTAAATGAAATCATATTAAATTAATTTATAAAAAAGATTTAGTAAATAGCGACATAAAGTATAACAGTATAAAGATGATTAATTTTAAGCAACGGTAATTGTTGTTGTTAATTTTTTGGAAGCTCGTCGTTTGCGTTGATTATACTTTGCGTTGTTATTTCGTACCTTATCCATTAAAAATGACTGTTGTTCATAATGAATAGTACAATATTAATGATAATGATCTATTTTAAATTATAACAAAATTATCTTACTATCAATGGATCTCGGCTAGATCCAATTTGAAAATTAAAATTATCAAATCGTTTTCTTATGGGATTGGGATAAATTTCAAGAATTTTCCACCAAATCTTCCTGAACTCAGTATCAGGAATGTAGTGCTTAAACATTCTATTTGCACCTACTAAATCATCATGGATAGTATCTATTATTTTTATGAGATCCTTAGTGAAATAAATTTCACAATCGATTTCTGGTGATATCTCAATGGTACCATTCAACCATGATTGTATTCGCGTTTCAAATGGTGGTGGTTTGTATCGTTCAATTAGGAATATTTTTTTAATTTTGTCAAAATATTCAACATCTAAATCCTGAAAATTTAAATATTCTTAGTTTTACATTCCAATGATTACAAACATTTCTACTTACAACATTTATGTTAGTCAATTTCCGTTTCGACTAAACAGATTTTTTTCGAAAATACAAAAGAAATCAATTTTTATTATTAATAATTTCAATAATTTTATTCTTACTTTTTCGTTCTTTTTTTCGATCTTCTTTTTTTCTGAAATGATAATCTTTTTTCTGAAATGATGAATCTTTGGATTGTCCGGAATATTGTCCATTATATTAATATTATTATTATCATTTATTTTTTTGAAATTTTTTTTTCGAGTGAAAAATGATGACCAAACAAAACATTCGAATCTGATGAAACATTCGAATTCTTGTTGGAATCTGACATGCGCACAACCAAACGTTCGATTTTTCAAAACCGTGTTGCATCGAAACCGTGTGGTACAAGTACCGTGTTGTACGAGGGACGACTGTAATTGAACTCGAATTGAAAAAAAACTACACAAAATAAAGGCACCAACAAAAATATTTTATTTTGTCAAAAACAAAGGAAAGATAATAATGATAAAGAGTTAACAAGGTCAAGAACATTAACAAAAGAAAATAAAAATCTTTTGTTAATTTTAATTTAATTCTCATCATAATCAAATTCGTTCTCAATACAAATTGATTGGTCGTGATTCATATCGCAGCATAAACAATTTCCATTGGTACATTCTGTGCTCAAGTGTTCATTGCTGAAACACTTGTAGCACCGACGTTCTTCTGACAGTTTGAATAATTTGTCAAAAATCGGTCGATTGCATTCGGTATCCAAATGGTTTCCGCTACAAAAAACGCATTTTCGTTCTGATTCTTGTTGATCCATAATAGTTCTTCTTGTGTATAGGAGAGGTACTAACGAGCAAAAAGTCCTTTGTGAGTGAATCATATAGCTGCACATTTCCATTTGATATTTTATTATCCGGTTGCTGCAAATGCTGGTCTAATCAACTATGCATTTCTTCAATGTTAATTTTTGACCTAAATCATTGAGTCACTATCAATGAAATCTTTTTTCTAATCATTTATTTCAAATCAAATTCGAACCGTCTTTCGTCGCCATCGTGATATTTTGCCACAAATTTTATTTTGTCTTTTCATCAATATTTTCAATTTCAATCAAATTTTTCGTAATTTTTCTTTCAAATCTATAGAATTTAAAGAGGATTCTACTAAAAATGTCGAAGTTGGAATATCATCACTTGATTGGTACCGAATTTGAACCGATTTTAGATCATTTGAGAAATAGAAGAAGATTTAAGAGTTTGAACAAAGATATTACTAATGAAGAATTAGAACGAAAGTTTCCCAAGAAAAAGTGTTTGATTGGAGGATGCAAATCAACGTTTTGTTTTACTTTTAATGTAGTAGAGCATTTGAATATGAAACATCCGGATTATTGTAAACGATTAACGTGAGTACCAAATAATTTTTCAAAAGGATCTTCAAATTGAATTGATTAAATTAAGGGATCCATCTGCTCCACCCCTACCGATTGCCGGTTCTTCTCATCAAGATATAATGGAAACAGTCGATCAGGAACCCATGGAAACAACTAGTATAGGAATGGCTGAAACTATCCGTCCACCTCAACAACATTATTCACAAACTTCCACATATAATGATGATCCAATGGTTCCGGAACCACTAGATTTTGAAAAAAGTGAATCCGATGTGGACGATGATGAATCCGATGATGAATCCGATGAGGACAATGTTGAATTAGGTGAAATTAATGAATTTTACGAAAGTTGTTTGAAACCGGACCCAAAACACAATTCTTATTTGGTTTCAACAATTGGAAAATTGGAAAAAGGTATTAATTGAAGAATAATTGTATTTATTCAACCAATTTTTGTAATTTATTAAGATGAACGAGATTTTTTGAAACAATACATTGCGGCACTAATGGAATTCAGACTGAAAAAATCAATTCCAAACGCTCATGCTGAAGAATTCGGCAAAATAATCTCAAGTAAATTCATAGAAGCTCAACGTTATCCGGAATATGTCAGAAAATTTATGGCAAGATATTCTTCGAGTTGTTATTTGCAAAATAAATTCCTCGAAATACAAGATAACTTTCTTAAACCAATACAGGTATTAGTTCCATTCAATTCTTTGTTTCGGCTCTTATCATAATATTTTTAGATTTCTCACCCAAATGGAATCGATATTCAATATTTTTCGGTTGAAGGTATTTTGAGATCAATCATCAATCAACATCCATCATTGATTGATTCAATTGAAAGAGAAAAATCACTCAAATTTCAGCCTGAATCTCAACGAAAAAACATGCTGATCAAATCCGACATGGACACAACGGACGAAAGAATTTTTCGAAGACTGCGAGGAAGGCTTCGAGTAGAAATTTCCTTGGATGATTTCTCGTTTGTCGGGAAAAAAGGAAGAAAATTCGTAGCTGGGTACATGTCGTGCACGAATTTACCATTAAAGGAACGAACAAAACGAGATAATATATACTTGTTTTTAATGGCAAGAAGACCGTTTATTCGAATAGAAGAAGAGATGAACATTATGTTGACGCCATTCGTGAATGAAATGAAACAATTGGAAAANAATCAATCAAGATCGAAGTAACACTTGGAAAAGTGGTCTGCGACAATCTTGCTCAGAATGAAATATTGGGCTTTTCAATGGCATTCGCTCGAAGCAGTATTTGTCGAGAGTGCTTACTAAAACGTGAACTATATACTGAGGATAGACGCCATTCTATTTTGGAATCTGATGGAATCAATCTTGAAAACTCAGTCAAAAACATCGTCCTTCGGGATTGCGTTTTGACACAATTAAAAGGTGTCACAATCGCCAATATTGCGCCGCCCGACATTTTTCATGACTTATTCGGTATGTTGGAAATTTCATTTGAATTGGTTGAATAATTTATTATAACAAATTATAGAGGGTTGTCTTAAACCGATCACGAATCTTTGTTTAAAAGAAATGATATCATGCAAAAATAATGGCTTAGATTTAACGCCATCAATTATCATACAACGATTACAAAATTTCAAGTTTTATAACGGAAATATTATAGTCGTTTATGAAAAAAACAAATTCAAAATATATGCGACCGGTGTGCAAGTGAGTAATACTATATCATCGTTTATATTTATTCAAATTATATTCTTTCAATAGAATTTCGAATGTTTTATGCGCCTATCGGAAGTATTTTTCAACGAATTCGATTTATTTGGCGAAAATGAAACACCTGTCATGTCATTGTATGAATCGGCAAAATCGTTTTGTCAAACGGTTTTAAGAACCGAATTAACCACATCGGATCTGGAAGATTTAGAAAAATTTAGTAAATATTTACTTGACAGATTTGTTGAATTATGTAAAAAGTATCCTTCAATGAAATATGAAGTAACATTCAAAATGCATAAATTACTTCATTATGGACAAAATGTTAAAAGATTCGGTCCGCTCTACCTTGGATCGACGTTAAGGTATGAGCGATGCCATCAATCGTCCAAAAAATATGGACGAGTGATGGGTAACTGGAAATCGCCCACAATTACATTGAGTGAGCGAATGGCCTTAAGGCAAACATTGGCGTCGTTAAAGCCCGAAGTTCCACCAAATTTATTGATAAAAGAAACTTCAATATCGGAATATGACGCCAAGTCCGTTTACCATTTGGTGGAAGTAAAAAATGAGCTAGGCGAATTCCGAATTGGCAAAAATGTATTGCGAAGATTGCGTTTCCGAGGCTACAATTCAAAAATTTGGATTCAAGCAATCAAATTTCTTACTAATGAGGAAACAGGACAAATGTTCGCAAAAGGATTCATTTGGACTGAACGTCGCGACGAAGACGGTCAACCTTTAATTAAATTCCATTTGACACTTGTAAAAAAAAGTAAACAATCTATAATCTTTAATTGTGATCATCTATCGCACATTAACGATTATCTTTTTAAAAAAAATGATAGATTTTACGTTAATCGCTTTATTTAATTTATTTTAAAATAACCTTAATAGTTTTTTCATAATAATAATAATAATAATTTTATTGAAAAACGCATATCCGCATATAATAGTTTTTTCATATATAAATGTATATATCATTTTCAATAAATGACAAATGTCCCTTTTTATTTTAATTCAATCAAAATTGCATCATCATAATTAAATAAAAATGCAATAAAGGGGTCGATTTCTATTAAATAACAATTTTCCATTCGAATTTTGAACTTTGAATTTGATCATTCACATTCGATTGTTATTACTTTTCAAATTTGAATAGTGTCAACCAACGTTGAAGAATGTTTTTCAAAATTGGAGAGTATTGCGTTGGAGAACACTCTCCAATTTTGAAAAACATTCTTCAACGTTGAACAGTGCTTTTCAAAATTGAAGAGTATTGTATTGGAGAGTACTCTCCAATTTTGAGGAATGCTTCCCAACGTTGA